GTGGACATTTGTATTGTTATGCTGCGAACAATGAAATCTATAACGTCGTCGCCGTCGTCTGGTGTCGTCAATTGTGAATACCATTCCGGGCCAGCTCAGCAAATGTATTGTTACCTTATAACAAAAGACTCAGCCGTATCCTAAATATACGTCGTGTATCTATTGGAATAATCCGTTTTTTTTTTAAACGACAAACTGAATTGAATTTTTGTATTATCGAACTGATCTAATTTATATCTGAACCAATCACAAAGTAATAGTGTCAATCAGAAGACATTAAGAACAGATAAGGTGCCCCAACATTTTTAAAATTTTGTCCGTCTTTCTACATATAAGTAGATATAGTTGGCATAAAACTTTTTTCTTTCAACTTACTAACTAACCTAAAAGTGTATTGTATTTTTGAATTTCGTCAGTATATATCACCCGTATTTAGTCGTCTTATCTTTGTTGACCTATAAAATTAAGTTGACGAAATATTTCAGTAAATTTTCTATGGGAAACTGGTCTATGTCTATTAAATTGTTTCCGATTCCTGCTGCAGTGGTTACAGGACTTATTTACTCCAAAATATTTGGTTGAGAGGATGATATATTTGTAGTTTCTTCAAAATGGATATGCATATTTGTTGCATTTTACAGAATCTAAACAAAAATGATCTCTGCTGCAAAATCACTAGGAGAAAGCTAGTAGTATCTGGAATCTCGTAGTATTCATTCTGAAAATAAAATTGAATTCTTTTAAGCAATTCAAGACTATCAATAAGAGTGAATTATTTTTTTTTAAGAAAAAACATTCAACTGTTGACAGAAATAAAACAAAATATGTATCATTAGAAAAAGGAAAACTATTGCAAATATCGTAATCTACGTATTGGTGAATTAATTTACTAATACATTGAATTAACCCTACAAAGAATTGCGTCTCATCGTAATCTACGAACAAGAGATAATAGTATTGCTTTTATACAATTTGGTTACTTAAATCACAATTACAATTTTTAATGCAGTAATGTACTTAGGTATTTCTTGTTCTAATAGCGATGATATCATAATGCAAGCAACTTTGTTCTACATTCAGAAAGATTTTTATGGTAGTTTATTTATCTAGAAAACTGTGTATTTCTTTCACATCGATGTACAACAATAACGTGTAGCACAGATACTTTTAACAAGTATGTGTTTTATTTACATTCACCTATTGTATATACATAAACAATAATGTCCATGCTTGATACAAAATTCCTTCTTTTTGGTAATTACTTGCACCTATAACACCATCGCTTTCATTCCAAATTGTTTAGATGTGAAAGGAATAATGCGATAAATAAATTAGTGTTACGTTGGATTATTGTAATTAGTTGCACCAATTCAACTAGTACGTAATTGTGTTGTAATCTCTGCTGTTTTGTTGTCAAGTCAAGTAATTTATTCAACATTAAATAATAACATAATTTTAGAATAAATTAAAATTTATCTAACTGTGTGTGGGAATTGTAAATATATAGCGGATAAAGGTCTTTATTATTATTTATTTATTGATTTATTAACTTCTAAAAATCAAAAACTATGATGATACTTTCACAGTTGTGTGCTTGAAATTGGCCAATTTCGTAATACAAAATGTCAAATAGATTATTACCAGTAATATATTATTATATATACATAAAATTGGATTGTCTCCATATAACCAACCCCAGCGGTAGCTTCTGAGCATGGCAGGGTAAGTGAGTAAGATCGCTTTAATTTAGAATCCATTTTAGAGAAGATTTATTGCAAACATCACTCTTATAATATTTAATTTATTTTCAAACAAAAAAGTCTAATGGGTAGTAATAAATACAAACGCCAAAAAGATAAAAATCTCTCTCTTCGAAGTAGCTTCATTATCTGCTACTGCTTTATGTGTATATATATATATATAGAGGAATTTTTGAGTAGAATAATAAAGTACAGGGTATGTTGACGATATTGTAATATATAAAATAAATGATCCTGTCGGCTCCAGTTTCCTTTCGACAAGAAAATTACCTCCATGCGCTTCACTTCTCCTCCATTGCCTATGTTTACGCATGAAATAAGTTTTTACGTAAACATCTGGTTTTCGTTGTCAACACTTTTCTTAAACACGTTTCCTACCGTGTGACAGGCACAGGAAAGAACAATTTTAATTTTATTTGTCAAGTTTCCCATTTTTTCTAACGGAATGTCTCTTCCATTTTCAACCAGATGGAATTTATATTAGTGATATATGAACATACAACAAAGAATAGCAATGGGTAGAGTCGCTTTTAATAACGGAAAGAAATAAGTTTTGTGCTCACGATTTGTTAATATGGAAATTCGAAAAATATTAAATGGGTGTGTTTGGGACATGGTTCTGTATAGCGTGAAATGTGGACGAAGAGCGCTAAGGAAAAGAAAAGGGTAGAAGCGTTTGAAATGTGGTGTTTTAGGAAGATCTAAAAGGGTGTCATCGAAGTCGATAAGAAATAGACGAGATAGATTGGTAGGACACCTGGGGAGACATGACAGATTACTTAGAGACGTTAGCAGAAGAAGGATTTAAGTTGGACTAGGCAGATCTGGATTAGATAGCAAATAGCTAGAGATGTATGAAGGTCTAGAAAATACTACAAATGACGCAGTGAACGCCATCTGTAGCACGATGCTACATTTTAGGATTACGTATGCTCCAACAAGGTCCACTTGTGTGGATATCTACTTGCTGAAAACGAATCCTGGCGTAGCCAACCTCAACGTGATAGGCACGTTAGCTTAATCGAATAAAATAATTCGAAGTGGTCCGTATTCTGTCGAAACTGCCAGACGCGGATCGCGATTTCGATCTTTTTGGATCTCATCAGCGCGTCGCAGACAGCTCCGACAGAACACAGGTCTCACATTCAATCTAGTCTAGGTCTACCTCTATTTCTCTTAACTCCTGTTTCTGCTTCTGATATGTCTCCAACTTATCCTTGATGCCCAAGAAGGTGTCCTATCAACGTATCTTCCCTCATCAATCGTGGGTAACACCATATTTCGAACATTTCTTTAATCTTTTCTTATCTGCCGCGCCCACCGTCCACGTTTTGCTCTCGTACAGAGCCGTACTCTAGACAATTTAACCTTTAACAATTTTTTTCGAATTTCTAAATTTTCGTGAGCATGGAAGTGGTTTCCTTTTGTTAAAGGCGACTCAACTAAACAGTAGAAATAGCGAATAATGTTAAGTATGTATGAAACTTTAAAAAAGTATTTTATTATTTACAATAAAAAGTTTAAATTCCGATATCTTATATCTCTCATTTTCATTAATTTATAATTAGTTATTTCCTCTGCTAACTGTTTTACTTTTAAATGTGATTTAGTTAACTCCGATGGTAAATTATCTACTTTTGTCAGATAAGTAATACTCATGATTGATATAGTGACATTTGGATTTGTTTATGAAAAACCTGATTTCTCCACGGATCGCCTTTCTCTAATGAATGTTTTGAACTATAATATGCATCACGCTAATTTGTGAATAAAATCCAATACATCAAACATGTGCCGTAACACGTGGGCAGCGACCTTAGCAACAACCGTCACCCCTATTAATTGAATTCAGTACATGTTAAGCCTTATAATTACATTATGTATAATGGTGCACATGGTGTGTATGTGTGCGATTAAATTTCTAAAAATATTGACAATATTTCCAGTTAGTTACTTGCATGTTATTTTTAATTTGTAGTTGAGGGCAACATCGACATGCGAAATTTACCATGAGCACTTATGAAATTGATTTTTTTTTGTAGTTTTTCTAATTTGTGTTATAAACAGTAAGCAATTTTAATTAAGCCTAATCTGCTTTGGTGGAGTGTGGATTATAAGTAGATAGAACAATAATAAATCGAAATGAAAGTTATACTTCTTATAAGAAGAAAGTTGCGGCACATAAGGGTTGTTTTCTTATGGAGTTTCTGTAGAACAGACAACTGCAGGAGAGAATTTTAACTTTATGTGACTTCTAGTGTCTCTGAGACAATCGATAATCTGCCTGCAACTTATGGAATAACGCATCCTGGCGCCTCTATTTCACATTTTCTATTTTGAAATGCTTAGTCAGAGCCCATTAACATGGGCACAAGTGTATCGCAAAGCTTTGATATAGTTGCAGTGAATTTACAGTAGGTAATTGATGCTGACTATACAGTTGGGTATTCTACATATGGCTTCTTTGCAGTGGTAGGGAAGATGATAAAAATAAATTCACTCGGATATATCTCGATTTCTTTAGTCGTTTTGGTTTATTTGCTTTTTTTTTATTTGATTAATATGTCCTTAAGCGTTGTACAGTTATTGTTAACGCTCTCCGTTGGTCACTAAACAGTATATATATCTGTAGAAATAGCGAATAATGACAATGCCTACCAGGTATTAAAAGAAGCATTAAACAAAGCTGGATTTTATTGTAGAACAATAATAAATAATTGTCTTTTACAATTTTTATCTCGGCTAGATCCTCACGTATGAAGATTTAGTTGCTGTATCTTAATTTTAAAGAACTATTTAATACATTATTACATATTTAGATCGTTCAACCCAATAATAATGAGAATTAATATTAGATTGGTATAAGAATTTTGCTTCTACAATGTTAGTTTGATGTCTCTTCTTTGATGGCGGAGTTACCCTTATTATTGGGGTTGTTTCGTGTGAAATTTTTCTTCGGTAAAAAGAAGTAAAGCAAGAAGAATAGACCGTTGATTAAATGCTGTAGAGATACCTACTTTGATTAACCCTGTTGCAATTACGTACATATATGTTTATACCTAGCAGCAGGGAATTCTTTTAATCGGATTTTCAAGCCACATCTTTCGTGCCTAATCCGATTTGAGGGAAGTTGTGAGGCACTTAATTAACGCATGTTTGTGTAAAAGGCTGAGTTAAATCCTGTTCCTTCGTTTATGTCTCTTTTTTGATTGACAGCTTTTTTTTTCGTTTTTGTTACAGTTTTGGCAAGAGGACCGGGGGCAGTGCTCGTAGACAAAACGAGTGCTTCGTTCTGGAACCTTCTGAGATGATTGTGGTAAGTGTCTAGATTTGGATAGGTACCAATTCATTGATTTTACAGGTGAAAAAAGATCGTCATCTTGTGCCCTTTCACATTGTGAAACTTTTTACATATTGCATGTTTTATGAGAATAAATATGAATGTTATCATTCTTAGGCGCTGTCCGTAAGAGAGAGGAGGGGGTGCGGTAAAAGTTTATTCTAAGCCACATGCAGAGGGTTGATACCTGAACAACGTGATTTTTAATTTGATTAATGTCTATTATCTGCACACAATATTTGCTGTGATAGTTTACAAGAACATTTACTGTTTTAGTTAGTTTTGAATAAGAAAAAAAACGAAATTTGTATGAAAAGAACTATAAACATCTTGCTGTTCTAGCGAGGGGGTTCATGGGTAAAACCATGGTAGGGTCCGACAGAACACAGAGCAACTTTTACCTGCTAAAATGTAGCATCGTACTACAGATGGCGTTTACCGCACCATTTGTGGTATTTTCTAAAACGCGCTGTTAACACAGCAGGTAAAAGTTGGTCTGTATTCTGTGGGAGCTGTCTGCTACGCGCTGATGAGATCCAAAAAGATCGAAATCGCGATCCGCGTCTGGCAGTTTCGACAGAATACAGACCATTTCGAATTATTTTGTTCGATTATGGTAACGTGCCTATCACGTTGAGGTGAGCTACGCCGGGATTCGTTTCAGCAAGTAGATATCTATATATTTAAATGGACCTTGTTGGAGCATACGTAATCCTAAAATGTAGCATCGTACTACAGATGGCGTTTACCGCGGCATTTGTGGTATTTTCTAATACTGTTGTATTGTTTTAAGCAATGACATTATAACATAATTCACGATTAGATTGATTATGAATTCGGATTTGATACATAACATTTTTTCCATTAAGGACGAATAAAATTAACGGCTAACTTCACTGTGGTCTTCCTCCATTGCTTATTAAGGAACACGGTGTATTTGTGCAATCTGTATTTATTGACTTATGTATGTTTGCATAAAATTAATAATGATTCAACGCGTATACTTTTCCTGTCCTTTTCATAACGGTTAATAAGAGAAAGTGCTTATAAAAGGTTGTTTTATCTCTGCTGTTTATTTTGTTAACTTTGTTGATTATATTTATCTATTGCAATCTGCGTTTACAACCCATGCTTTGCAATTAAGAGTTTTTAACAAAAGCACCTATTACTAGCGTAAAAGGTAATCTGGAAGGTGTTAAAATTATGTTAAAGAATTAATTTACTTTTACTGTCATCACTAATTGGTTTCATCTCCATAAGTCGTATTGTATATCTATCTACATAATATTTGTGGGCATTAGTAGATATAACAGGAGAAACCAGAATAATTTTATTAAATACAAGGCTACTGATTCTGATTATTAATCATTGTTATTGATCAAAAAGGTGGGATAATATATCAATAAATGTGTATAAAATATTGTAGGTATTAATTGAAAAATCTATCACTAGTTTCGCTTTCACTTTAGTAAGAGGTAATACATATTATTAATAAATGAAGAATTTTTTTTAGATGTGACTATTACTTTCACATGCCTATGTTGGTTTTGATTTCTCTGTAAACCTGCACAGATTTGCAAATTATAAATGTAACGAGTAGTATTTGGTTTTGTGTCATTTTTTACTTTTTTTTGGTATTTTACCACTCTACTTCCCTCTTGTATGCATATTGGTTCTGACAATGTACTTTGGCGTGAATCTTCCAGGCCATCTCATGTATGTAGTCTGTAGGTTTTCCAGTTTTTCTCTAGTTTGGTATCCCCAAATTTCTACTTTATATACAAAACTACTTTTCACCAGAAACATATCATTATGTTCCTTTCCCAATATCGTCATTTTTCCAATTCCCCATATTCTGCCATGATCCTTCCTGACTTATTTGCAGTTTCTCGTATGTGTTCCTTATCCCCATTCTTTTTCTCGATGTGTCTCATATATAATATGTGTAGATATTTGAATTCTTTTACTTCTTTTACGTTCTCTATTTCCCATTTTCATCATCTCTCTTTCTCGGTGCTTTCCATTTCGCCGAAAATCATACAACCCTTGACTTTTCCGCATTTAATCTTATCCACTCCTTTACTTGTATTGTTAAGGGCATTGTTTTGATAAACTTAATAGTAAAACGTAAAAATTTAGTTAATGTGTTCACTGACATTTAGAATGCTTGTGTATTTTGTACTACTTATTATTGATTAGAGTAGAATTAGATTGAGGACAGGAGGAGCGCTACATAATATGACTATTTGACATCCACATCATCATCATAAGGTCGTCAGTCCTAAGACTGGTTGGACATGCACCTTTACTCTTTCCTATCCTGAGCTAATCTTCGCATTTCCCTAAAATTAGAGCATCCTACATTCTTCACTATTTGTTAACAGTAATCTAATCTAGGTCTACCTCTACTCGTCTTGAACTCTAATATGTCTCTGACCAGCCCTTAATTCCTGAGAAGGTGCCCAACCAGCCTAACTCGCCTATTTCATATAGAGTCCTTTGTTCTCCTATTCTTTTACTTCTTTATTTCTAACCTTCTCTACCCACGGTATCCTCATCATTCGCCTGTAATACCTAATTTTGAACGCTTCTAACCTTTTTTTTTCACCCGCTCCCAGCGTCTATGTTTCGCACCCGTACCGCGTCGCTCTCCAAACATATACCTTTAAAAATCCATTTCGAATTTCTAAATTAACCATTCGCAAGCATAGAAGTGAGTTCTTTTTATTGAATACGACTCGCCGCAGCGCTACTCTCTGCTTTATGTAGGGGTAGTAGGGATACTCCTAGATACCTAAAATCATCCGTACCAGTTTTTCGTTTTACATTAATTTATTTTCATAAAATACTTTTTTGTCAATACCGTTTACATTTTGTTTAAAGCTATCTTTAACTCCTCCCTACTATATCACATAGAATTTATCTGACTTATTTTTGCGGCCGACACGGCGTCGACCGGTCACGAATGAGCGAACAACAAAAGTACATCTTTTTTAGAAAGAAAGAATCATATGGCTCAGCGTATCTTGTATCTCTTTGCGGTCGTACCACGCACGCACAAACACACTCACAGGAAGAGCGCGTTTCCGGACTTCGGGATCTGTTTTGGACCAAAGTGGCTTACTCAAACAGATACATATGCCACAGGGAGAGGAGAGCGTCTTTCCTTCCCAGAAGACCTCCAGACAAACTGCTATTAGTAGTAGTAGTTTGCGTCGGGCTCGCTCTTTCGTTCGCTTAACGGAATCTCGCGTGTGTCTGTGTTTACGTCACAATCCGCCGTTTAATAAGGCAACAACGGCGATTAATAATTATCCTCGGTAATTGTTCGAGAAAGTGAACGCAAAATGCGATAACGATTCGTTTACCAAAACACCTGTGTGTGCTCGATCGTAGGAAGGATCGAATGCGCCGCGTCGCCGTGGTCAGACCGCGCTCAGTACGAGTACAGTCACAGATTCGGAGTGTGGCCGAAAGCTTTCGTGTTCTTTCTTGAGTGCTTTTTTCGGGGTTTGCGAAAAACGCGCGTGCGAGAAAAATGGAAAATGCGACTTGTTTTTCGCGTCGCCAAGATGTGCACGTTCTCGTAGTTTTTATTATCGATAACCTGTGCGATCGCAATAGGAAAAGTGAATACGAGCAAGGCCGTTTGGTAGTGTGTAGTACGTACTTTGACCGACTGTAAAACAGAAACGGTTGGATTAAATTACGTATGCAGTGAATGTAATCTGTAATTAGATCAAATTGTTGGTGTTTGTTACGGATTTTTTTATTGCCGTTGCTATTACAAAAATTATGCGTATTGTTTCTAACTACTAGCAGCGAAAAACGCCACAGAGTTTTATGTCGAAGTAAATTTGAGAAATTGGATTAAGAATTATTTCGTCTTTACACGCTTTAGCTTTTTGGGCACTTAAGAAAGTCTCTTAAGGAAGAAAAGTATAGGGGCCTTGGTTTGTAACAGTAGTTTTGGCGTTTTTGTTACAGTAATGTCAAGAGCTTTTTGGGCACAGCTTTAGTATGTAATACACTTGCACCGATCTGCACTATTGTAATAATAGAGGATCACTACAACATTTACTTCGTGTGTGTTTTTCTTACCGTAACCATAGGTCACATGTCAGAGGTAAACCTCATACTAAAGCAGCACCGCTTATTGCTTATTCAGATTGTTCTTTATATTTTATGGTAAATACCAGAATTCAGCAGGTGAATTTAAATGTTAGCCGATAAAAATAAAGTTTAAATATTTTTCCCATTACTAGACCATCGGTATTTTAACTGTAGAAGAATTCGAATTCCTTTATATTTTCGTCACCCATTGGTAGAACACAATGGAAGTAGTAGCCTCCAAGTTTTTGTCAGTGCTTTCCCCTTTTTTGGAAAAAGATTAATGAAGCAATCAATTTTGGCGTACGGCTGTCATTTCATTGGGTTTTCTTTACAATTTGTTTTGATCTTAGTACTGTTGAGTTTTAATTATAGTTATTAATTTGCAATGGCGATTTTGCAGAGCTTTGTTTTCAATATGGATAAGGTTTTTAGTTGTAGAACGAAAACAACAAATTGTTGACATCATGCGTTAAATGAATAACGAAATAGGTAGATAGGTAATTATGGCGTTGAATTCCAAAATTAAGAATGTGTTTGTTTTTTACAGTGTAAAATTTATTTGTATCATGAAGCTATTTAAACTTTATTTTCTTAAATACTAGAAAGTGGATTTCTTAGGTAATCGTTTCTAAGTATAATCTTTAAATTGAATTGATTAAGCAGGAGTGTAGCCTTTTTTGTGTAATAAGGAATCATTTTCTAGGAAGTTTATTCAATAGCAACAACATATCTTTTGTAATTTTCTGTGTCAATAATATCTTACAAGGATTAAAAGATGCCTTTCTAGCTTTAGTCAGTTTTCACCAAGGATTGGAGTGAAATGTTTTCGGAAATTTCTAACAAAAAGAAAGCCATGTATATAAGTATGCAAACTATGTACCTAAGTCGTTCACATGTTTAAGACGTGTATTGAAGGTTAATATGGTAGGTACATATAGGTATATAAATTTATACAAGGTAATTTCGCGATGTTCCCACCTACTGTTCATTGGCTTTAGCAAATATAGCATTCGTAGTTTCTCTTTTTACAAGTGTTTTAGTAACTAAACAACGTCTTTATTGTTTTGGGTCACTTTCTGTTTGGCAATTGAAAGAGTACAAAATATACCTACCTGTATGGTGTGTACAAAAGAGACGTGTCTCTAGTTGCCACGAAAATTTATTGACTGGCGATGAGTTCAAATGTCGATTTGAGGGTAATACGTGTCACGTAAAACAACAAAAGGAACACAGGGAATTAATTTCGTATTTATTTATTTTATTT